GTTGTTTTTGTCTCTCTGTCTGCATGTGGCGGGGTTTTTCCAAACTGAAGAAAAACAACGAAAGAGCAGAGAACGAAGAGTTGACAGGCGGTCCTTAGGGACCTTCGTCCTGCTGCCTATATCCTATATCCTGTGAATCCACCCCTTAGTCTGCTCTCTTTCTCGTCCTGTCTGTTGCTCTGTCTATTTTGACTTTAACAACGTCAGCAACACCCTCTCCCCCAAAACAAAAAAAAGTGCACACAAGCAAACATATCCCCTGTCTACATGGATCCAGAATCATCATTAACGCTGTCCGAGGGTTGTCTGAAAAGTCCGAAAAGTCCAAAAAGGAAGGGGATTGATGGCCACAGGGCACACAGGACAGAGTCTGGTATTGAAGTCTGGATCGGAAACTATAGTTTGGAAAAGTTTTTAGCCAATATAGAAGCACATTGGTAGCGGGGGAAAAAGTAATTTTTCTGAAGGCAAATATTGTTCCAGGAAATGGTATAGTATAGCTTCCCCTTTGCTAATTTATTTCCTACATTTTTATTAGACTTTAAACCACTGTTTCTGGCGTTGCAATAATTTGCAGCTTCCACCATCATCATCAACACGCCCCCAAAAAAATAAAGAAACTTAAACATGAAGCGAAGACCAGCTGGCAGAATTCCCTGGTAACTCCTCTACATTTAATATCCTAACTCCATACCTTATTCCCTTCATAACCCTTTGGCCTTTCATAACTCGCGATGGGCATAAAATTTATCTATAATAAATTAAAAACTCCTTAAATGTTGTTGGCAAAACTTGGTTTATGGTTCTGGTTCTTCTTGTCCATTCGGAACCCTCCGCCTCTGTTTTTCCTGTGTTTTATTTGTGGCCGCCAGCTAAAAAATATATATATATATATATAAAGAAAAAATTTTCTATATTATTTCATTCTTGTAGTTGCCACTTTTGGTGGACACTGGAAAATAAATAGTAGTACTATTTATGGAAGTTTTTGTACTCTAAAATATTACAAAGCCTAGTTTGAGATTTAGAAATTTTAAACCAAGAACTAAGCAAGTTTTAGGATATATTAAACAAATCTTTTGGAGAAACATGTATGTTTTTTATACTACTAAAACGTATTAAATAGTTGCTTGAAATTTTGTAAAACATTTATAAATCTATACTTTAGTCTTTCATTCTTGTAGTTATCATTTTTTCTGCGAACTGAAAAATTATTTCTATTACAACTACTACCTGAATTTTTGTATTTCAAAATATTTTGAATTTAGAAGTTTTAGACAAAAAACTAACAAAAACTTAGGATATATTTAAGAAATCTTTTAGGACTTTAAGTATTAAATAGTTAAATGCAATTTTGTTAAATATTTATAGGCATTAACAAAGAGAATGAGAGGTTTTCTAGATATTTACCATATTATATGAATATGAATTTGATTTTTCCTATTGAGATTTTTACCTTTAACAAATTTTATATTAATTTTTAAGCTTTAATTTCTCTCTCTGCTTAAGACGTGGAATTCAAGGAGGAGTTAGCCTGTGGATAAGGTGGATCTAGTGACTGTTGCAGGGCAGTTTAGTGCCTGTCCAAGTTTCGTTGTTGTTGCAGGGCTCTCCGGCCTTTTAGCCACTGCTGATGGTTGGATGCTCACGCGGCCGGCATGAAAACTTATGTCGGCGGCCTTTGGGCGCAATTATTTATACATGCCTCATAAAAATCCCAAGACAATGGGACCCCAGACGGGGAGTCTGACCAGAAAGCAACAACTACAGGAAAATATATACATATTAAAAAAAAGGGACAGCAGCAAACTCCAGCTAACAATGCAAGTCTCCCGACTCCTTTTGTGTTTTTTGTGGTCAATGTTGCAACTAGTCTTGGGGCCTTTTATACGTTTGTCGGTTGCAAAGGGGAGACCAGGCCACAATTACCCCTAGAAGAGGCAGTCTGTTTGATTTTGGTTTTGGTAATAAAGATAGATCGATGGATCGGTGGTTAGAACTTTACCAAGTGCCACAGGAAGCGGGATTTGCTGATCGAGCGAAGATAGAAAAAATCTCAAGTGCAATGAGCCTGATAAATGTGACGATCTTATGGCAAGATTTTGAGATTGCAGGAAAACAATTTAATTATAGTTAGAGAAGTGGGTAGAATAAATATATTTAAAGAGAGTTAAGTAAGAAAAATTATCTTCAAAACTTTGCCTGCATTATTACATTATCTTCTTTGAAAGCTCTATAATTTTCTGTATTGTGTTTCAAATTTAATCTTTAAAAGAATATATTAAAGTACAATGTTTCCATTTATTTCATAAGCTTTAAATGCTACAACTTTTTGGAATAACCTCCCCAAAAACCCGCCTAAATACTCAACGAAAATGTCCACCAAAAATGGTTTAATCTAATTCCATTTTGCCATCTCTCTGGAGCCTTTAAGCCAACTCTCCTCCACCGCAACATAAAAATAACCCTCATTTTCGGCTGCTGGCCAATTCGAATCCCTCAACATTAGTTCATTAAAATTTAAATTTTCAGCGCTGACTTGGCTTAAAGTTGGCTTAAGAGCTCGTGGAATAATTTCAAATAAATGTGGCTGGACCAAAAAGAAGAAATATTAAACTGCAGGCAATTTAGTGGCGACTCTGAGGCGCTGCTTTCCCCTGTGAAAACTGCTACTTTATGTTATTGTTGCGTGTATCTGTTTCCCTATGCGTAAATATTACCCCAAGTCAACAGTTTCTGGGTGTGCCATCTCCTTCTGTCTGCACTTGCTTAACATCGATTCCCCTTATATCCTTGCCAGTCCCTGGAAAAGGAGCAGAAAAACGCAATTTGCGCCGCTAACCTAACGATGATTGCCAAAAAGTGTCCCAAAAAAAAAAAAAAAACGCAAAGGGGGATGCTGTATTTAGGGGGGAGGATTTTAAATTTTTAATGGGAATTTGAAATAAAGCCCAGACAGAGACAAGTCTCTGGTACAGGGCCAGGAAACAGGGAGCAGGGAAAGCAGGGAACAGACAACACTTTCGGGGCGAGTTTGGTCTTTGACAGAGAAACTGACGACTGCTATGGGGTTTTGGCCTCCGGATCTCTGTGTTTCTCTCTGCTCCGATGCGTTTGCACTGGTCAAAATTAGGGATAAATAAATATAAATGATATATTATAAAGAATTTAAGAAATGCTTATATATGGAATGAGGAAGTAATACCTATGAACACTATAATTTTAGTCAGAAGCTTGTAACGAAGTGAAGGAATCATTTCCGACCCTATGAATCATATATATTCTTGATCAGCATCAACAGCCGAATCGATCTAGGTATCTTAGGAACAACAATTTTTTTTTTACAATTTTTTTAAATTTTTTAGGGGGTTAAAATTATGAAAAAAGTTAAATTTTTTACATTTTAAACGGAGTATGCAAATTTGTTAACCCAAAAACAAGTAACATAGGACAGTTTTCCGAATTAAAATGAATGCATTTTTTGCTGAGTTATGCCTTTTTAGACTTTGATTGTTTGAAAAAATTGTCAATTGTTTTTGAAATATTTTTAAAAGTATTTTGACTTCTTTTGTTGTGTAAAATGTAACCCAAAGCTATTGTGCAGTCCAATCCTCTCATCGTTATCCCCAAGCTGAGTTTTGAGCCCGCTTTGTGGGACTTTCTGTGTGTGTAACAATATTTTCTGCAACTCCTTCACTTCCTTCCATTATTATTTTTTGTACTCTTTCAAGGAGTTTTATTTTTTTTGAGTGCGTGCGTGTTTTGCTATCTAAAATTCAAATCTCCTGCGGTTTACAATGCGCCAGAACTCTGAAGTGAGAACTCCTTTCAGTCCATCCCTGTTTCACATATTTGGTGTATAGCAAACTGAGGAAATGCCACGGACTCTGAGCTGTTTTGTACAGTAAAAGTTCAGTATGATGAATCATAATTTTACTGAGAATTATGTGAAATAATTTATAATTATAATAAATATTATTTTTACCTTTTAAAAAAATGTCCAAGCTATTTTTTGTACATTAAAAATACATGAGTGTTTTCTGTATTGAGCCACATATTTTATATTGTGAAAAACTTATAATAATTCTTATTAATAATATAATATAATATATATATAATAAATAATTCTTAATTAATATATAATTCTTATTAAAAATTGTATATAAAATTATAAAATTACACTTAAAGAATTATTACTATAAACTCCCTGCATCGTTGCCACATTTCGTAATGCAATTGTTTTCTGCGGGGGTTGATTTTCGCCTTGGCTTTTTGGAGTTCAAGGTTGAGTTTGGGTTTTTGGCCCTTCGGCCAGAGTTTTGGTCTTTGTACCGAGAAAATCTCATTAAACTGCAGTTATTGTTCGAGTGCGGAAATTCGGACTTTGGATTTTGCATTTGTTGTCAGTCCGATGGGATGTTTCAAGTGAATTTTCGGGGGTTGAACACCATTCTGATCCTTGGTCAATATCCTTTCAGTTTACAGCCTCAGGGCAGGTTGACAATAGCGTTACCAAAATTTATGCTAATGCAAAGATGTCTTCTTTGACGTTAGTAGGAATTTATAATTGAAAGGTTATTGGAAAAGCTAAATAAAAGGGTAGTTTGGCACGTGAATAACTAAATTTTATTGAAATGATTAAGTTAGCATCAAAGCTTAATAAACTATAAACTCTAAAATCAAACCTTTGCCAAAATTCTTGTATTTACTTTATACAAGTAACCATGTTTAACATTTATCGATTTCTCAATGCCTTAAGCCTTTAATTCATATCTTCTCCCATTAATTTTGTATGCGTGTATGCCGCCTCGCTTAATCGCCTTTAATTACAACTCTCAATCCAATTTGGGGGCCACATTTAATTTAAGCCATATTAATTAATCGTTGCCTGCAAATGAATATACTCCTTTGTTGTAGGCTTCTTCCTTTTGTGACCTCATCCCCTTTACAATTTACTCATTGGCTTCCTTTTTTTTCTTGTATCCCTTGTTATCCTGCAGGATCTCCATGACTGCGGTGCCCCGTGCCATGCCATGTTCTTCCCGGAAAGAGAAAGGACCGTGCTGCGTTACTGGGTTGGATCCTGGGCGGCTGTCTGTGTGGCAAGTTGCTTATTTACGGTAAGTTTTAAATACTACAAGTATTAAATTATACAAATTAAATCAAAATAATTCAGTAAATCAAATATTTACCAACTTCAATATAAAAGAAAACCATTTAATATAAATAAAACATTACAGAAAACTCTGATATCTTTGATTCCCAGGTATCTCTCTTTTATATTGTTCTCCCGTACATATTTTTTATTTTACGAGTTCCCCTTAGACTCACATTTTTATACATATATCCTTTGCTGCCTGAGTGCTGCCATATTTTCTTTTGGCGCTGAAAGTAAACATCTTTCACGGTTAGAGGAGCCAACGAGTGAATCCTGCTCCTTCAGCGAGTCTATTATTCTGGTGGGGGTAAGGGAGCCGGAATGCCAGGACGAAGGCGTTGGCACTTTAGCAAATCCCACGCATTGACATATTACCTGTCAGCGCATATTTTTCAATAAACTTGGCAAAACATATGCAGAAGCCATCGCATCAAGGCCACATCGCCCTCAAAAAGAAGAGAGAAAAAAACCCCCGAGGCGTTCTTGGCAAGCAGGATCTACCTTCGAAGGATATAGAAAGATGTAGGGACAAGGCCAGGCAGCCTTGGCATGTGGCATGTGTGAATGTGGCGATGGAGAGTGGGACAAATGGCAGAACAAAAGTAAATTTCAAATATTATTAGAATTGCCCTTTGATATTTCGGAATGTCCTGGGCATGCCATGTCCTCGGCTTCCCCCTTCGATTCGACTATATTCGAATGCCTTCAGGATGGATGAGCTCTGAACTAATATTGGAAATAGTTCTTGCATTGTAATCCTTCTGCTTTCTGTGTGTGGAGGAGAAATCAAATTGAAAATGTGGCTGCCGAGGAGATGAAGCATGGCATAGGAAATCCTTAAAGAGTTTAGATTTTCACACAAAGATGGAGGAGTTAGAGAGGGGATTCTTATAAAAAAAATATGACAAAAAAGGGTAAGACGAGAAAAGGATACAGCCCCTTATGTTATTTATGGTTGACTACAAGTAAGGTAGGAGTAAGGAAAGGAAAATAAAAGCAGTGAGGTGGAGATTGAAGGTATTAATTAAAGGAATTTTAATTAAAGAAATATTTAATAAATAATTTATAATGGGACTTAACTTACCTAGTTAATGTATGTATATTAAAGTCTGTAGTTTTTCTTCTATTTAAACCTATCTTAATTTCCCCTACCCTTCACCCATAAAATATCCATCAGAAAACCATTTATTCACTCCTTTGCTTAACCCATTTCCCATAACCATAAATCAATCAATTGACTTGTCTAATTATCTCATCTTCCTGGAAACTATTCATCATCCCAAAGGTCCTGCAAGTGAAGCGCTCACTCTCTCCTCCATCAATGGGATGGGGAATTTATGGAAATCAACTTGTTAGTCAGGCATTTTCCTCTCCATCAAGGAAAATGTGTTGTGTGCTCAAAATGGGTAAAAAAATTTGAATAAAAAATCAATTTAGCTGCTTCTGGACCATGAGTATGACAGGCTCTAATCAACAGGAGAAACAAATATGATAACCAAGCTTATAATTCCCAAGCAATCAGGCGGCGGGGGAAAGATAAGTGGGGCAGAGCCCAAAAAAGCACATCTATCAAAATTTTTGGAGAGGTCCTGACTGGCACAAACACACACTGGCACACACGTCATAAAGTTGTGCTACATTCATCAGAAAGGGGAAAATGGGGGATTCCCCCCCTTTGGGAACATTGTCACTCACATGGCAACATGTTTTCCATGTGCTGTCCCTGATCCTTTTTCTCCCTCCGTGTGTGTGATGATAAATTTTGTGCCATTGCATATAATTTGTAGCCCATTGTCAGCGCCAGATCCTGGGGCGGGGCATATCAGTGCAACTCATAATAATAACAAAAAAAAAACAGCAACAAATTCTATGCTAATTTTTTGGAAATTGTTTTTCCAGGAACTTTCATTTGCAAGCTCATTCTACTTACTTTTACGATTATTATTTTGTTCTCCGAGTGTGTGTGTGTGTGTGTTTTCCATACTCATTTTCATTCGCTGGGATTTTTGCATTTTCCACGCATTCATCAGTAGTTTTCCTACAGTTCATGGAAATTTTGTGCTTTCAAGTGCAACATTTTCCCAATAATGATGAAGGAAATTTTATTTCAAGACTCTTGTTTGATTTGCTGATTGTTTTAAAGAGCAGGAAAATCTTTAAATTAAAAGAGATGGATTCAGCTCTCATATTTCAGCTTTACTTTTAAAAGTTTTCCATTCTCCAGTCTCTTTAAAAAGTTAACCCCAATAAGCCTTTATAAACATAGGAAAATTCTCCACTCCACAAACACACATTAAATATTTGAATGGCTTTTACTTTGCTTCCACTTCCGCTTGCCATTTTCCAACATTGAGGATAGTGCCCGATACATCTCAATAAATTCGGCATGAAATGTGGGTTATGTTTGTTTATATGTTGATTTTAATAAACTTTCTCTCCTCCTCTATATTTGAGTGTAAGTGAGGGGATGAAAAAATATGCCGTGACACAGAACAATGTCAATGAAAAATGTCAATGTCACACGAAAAGCATTAGAAAATTGCAAAAAGAAAAACATTTGAAAATGTATATTTTCTGTGTTTGACTTTGTGCTTGAAATGCTACACATTCGTATGGATTTAGTTTGTGATATTTAAGGGAATTTTGGTATTCAATAAATAAAGTACTTGGCTAATTGATTGGAATGATGAAAATGCATTGTAGCCAAACACATTTGATATTGTTATGAAAATTTGCTTAACATTTTAAGTAAATGAATATCACAAGTGACTTGAATTACAACTTTAAAATGAATACATGATAAAATGAATGAGAAATTCTTGGAATTTTCCCCAGCACAAGAAGAAAATTATTTTGAGAGAGCATAAACTTGAGGGAAAAGTAATCCCAAAAGCAAAGTTTTTCCCAAAAAAAAAAACAAAACAATTTTCTATGACAGACATCGTCGGTGTTGCGCAACTTTTGCTAACCTGGGAAAAACCTTTGGGGCTTTTCATTTCAAGTATCAAGCGAAATTATAAACAAACACATTTTATTTCAATTTTCGCGAACTAAAACAAATATTTTTGCACCCCAGCAGAGAGAAAGTTTTCCTCTCCCTCAGCTGCCAAATGTGCGACAGGTAAAATTGTCTAAGGAAAATTCCTTCCCCACAGCAAAAAGGAAAAACTTATGAGAAGGGAATACAGAGAGTGTGGGGAAATGCGGTGTGTGTCACATCAACTGTCAACAATCAACACCTTTTTCATTAAACGCATTAGATGAGATGAGACAATGAGTGAGCATTCTCCCCCTGACCCCCCACAGATGACTCTATATCCCCCTTTTCCTTATCTGTCGCCTGACTTGACATTTGTTTTCCAATGAAAAGCGAAAAAGAGGAAATGACAATGTGTGTTTGCTGAAAGAGCAAATAATCGCATAGGATGTTTCGGGTGTGTTGTTAGTCGTTGACTCTGATGACTTTTTCTTAATTACAAAACCTGAATGTGTAGAGCGGGGAAAATGAAAGGAAAATGGAGGAAAAATCGGTAGGGGGAGGGAGAAGCTTTGCCAACGAAACTGAAAGTTCACTGAGGCGCATTTTTCGACTGGATGTGAGCAAATATGTCAGTTCATGGGTTCCTTGTTTTGACAGTTTCCATTTCGTTATTAATAGTTTTTAACTATGCACCAAATATATTTAATTATTGATATGCATAAAAAATACATTGCCATAAGGCATCAAAATGTCAAAAACAAACAAAATACAAAGCCGCAAAAAACATTTTGCCACCAAATTTATGCCGCAATCTCTCTGTCCAACCTGACTGAAATGTTTATGTTAATAGTTAGTTATTCTAATAGACGATCCACCCTCGAAAAAAAAACACCAACCTTATGCAAATTTATACAATTTTTGTGCAAGTTTTTTTTCTATTTTTTTTCTGTTTTAGTTGTGAGTTAAATCTAATTTATGCAAAATTCAAAAACTGCCAACCGCTGGCAAAGCCCTCATAGCTTTTCTGTGGCTTTTAGTTTTCAACACTTTTGGCGAAGACACGGGGCCTTTGGAGGTGGGTGTAACCACTTTAGTTTTTTGTTGTTGTTTTTTTTTTTTTGGGTTTTTTAGTCTGATTTTAATGAGCCAACCATTTGGACTCGACAAAATTTATGAGCTCTAAAAATTGAAATTACTTTTTTTTCATTGACCATGAAAGGCGCGGCGTCGCGGCTGGAGTTAAATAATTTATTTGGAGTTGGTTGACGGAAATGTTTTTCGACAAGAAGTTTAAGCAAAGACTTAAGAGGAAATGGGGAAAAGCAGTTGGAAAAGTAAGTGGGGAAAAGTCACCTGGGGTTTTGGGTGGCATAAAACTTGAGTGAAGTTTTGATTAACAAAGGCGTTTAATTTGTAATATATTTGCTTAATTTTAATTGGATATTATGGGTTTGGGTTTTTGGGTTTATGTTTAGTATTTAGGATTTTATATATAGAGTTAGATATATTTATTGTTAGTTGCAAAATATTATCAAATATCTATGTAACTTTCTTTAAGTCAAGTTTAAATCAATTCAAGTTAAAGGAAAAATGTCAAATTAAATGGTATTTGATGCAGATTTCCTGCCAAAAAGTCTGCCTTAAAAATCCCTAACAATTTACATAGATTTCATGGGTATACCAAATGTTCAGATACCGCTTCTATATATTTACATATATATCTGAATTTCCTTTATGGAGTGCCACCTCCTTCTTAAGCTCTTCTCCTATGCGACTTTTCCTCTAAATTTCGTGTGGGTGTGGCTGCTGAATGTTTTTCCACACACACACAAAAGTTGCGGGAAAACTTCCGCCCTCGGTGACGCATAATTTGTGGGCGTGTCAAGAGGAGGGGGGTAGGGGAAGACTGTAAGAGTCTGTGCCAAAATGTTTCAGCATTTTGCAGCTTATTTCGTTTCATTTGTAGCTAGTCACACCTACAGAAAATCTCCTCTTTGCCCCTAGCTTTCCCATCATCATGCGTGGCATAACAAATTGCTGAAGGGAAGTAAGGGAAGGAAGAAAATCTTGGAGGAACTCCTCCCCCCTCCTCCTCCTCCCACTCCTCTCCCTCCTCCTCTGCCGTTGTTGTTTCTGGCATAAATAAACAATTCAATTCAATTTCTCAGCTTGTTTCTTCTGCATCGGAGCGTTGTCAACAAAAGGAGTTACAAACTGACTCACTGCCGTCCATCGTTTCCTGCTCCTCGTCCCTCGAATATATTTTGCATTTAAATGTGGCTGTGAATGGAAAAAAACAGGGTGAAAAATAAAAGAAAACACAATGCGTAGGTGGAAATTAGTCGTAAGTCTGGCTAACACAACTATAATACGAAGGAGAGGCGGGCCAGAAAAGAAAAACGTTTCCGAATGAATACATTTTTCACTTCAGTATACTAATTCGAGGGGGAGCAGTGAAAGAAATTAGCAAGTATAGTTTTTAGTGGAAAATATTTTCAGTAATTTATTTCCTGTTAACTGAGCATATATAGTATTTTGAACTATCAAACTTTTTTATTCATTTGTAATTAATTATTTACCTCAATAGCATTATATTTTAAAATATAAGATAAAAACGAAATCGATTTATTTTTGGATATCAAAATGTCAACATGTGATTTTATTTAATTAGATATTGTTATTATTCTTGTTATTCTCATAACAAATTTCAAATCAAAACAAGAGTATTATTATTTGGACTTCGGAATGTCTGTTCCCATCTATTTTTTTATAGCAAAAACAGGGTATTGCATCTCAGTCTGAAGCTTAAAACACATCGAAGGAGTCATTTCCGACCCTATAAACCATATATATTCTTGATCAGCACAAAAAACTTTGTCAATCTAGATTACTCCGGACGAAAAAATTTTTTTTACAAATTTGGCAAAAATTGAAAAAACGATAAGGAGTTACATCATTAAAATTGTCGAAAAATTTAAAATTTTCACATGTTAAACTAAGTATGCAGATTTGTTAACCTTGTAAAAACTAGCACAGAAGAGCTTTCCGAATTTAATTTAATGCATTTTTGGCTGAGTTATAAACTATTTAAAATTCGCTGTCGTTAATAAATTGCATATTGTATATTGTGTTTTAATTTATATCACAATTGATTAATTAATTAATGAACATTGTATATGGTATATTATACAAGTTACTTTACCCATTTTCTCTCTCTGTGCCACACATAAAACTGTAAAGATGGATGAATGTTAGCTCCGTCTCTTTGGGCCAAGAAGTGCGTTCTGCATCTATGAATAATTCATAGGTCTCTAGTCGTGGCAACAATAATACCTCCCGGCATTAATGCAATGCGAACAACTGAAACGCAAACACAGATACTCACTCACACTGAGAGAGATGTGGGTGCCACACACACACACACACTCACTGAGTGAACTTCCAGTTAACTGTTTTCCTGCTGATAGTTTTGTAATGATCAAATTAAATGACTTTGCTTTGGGTCTGGTTTGTGGGGTTTTCTGGTCTGGTTTGGGGTTTTCTGGCTTAGACAAAAGGCTCCTTCGGCCTTTTCCCTTCGGCTTAGTGGGTATGATAATGAATTTATTTAAATGGCGCGTAATCAGACGGCCAACAGAGCAGTTTCAAGAATTGTTTAATGTGTTATTTTGTGGGCCAAATACGGTCTGTATCTGGAGTATATTTGTATCTCTGTGAGTGTGGATTTGTAATTGCTTTAAAAGCTTTTAAAGAAATTGTCAGTCATTATGTCTATATAATCCCTTATCCTTGGCCTCAGCTGGCAACGGGACTTCATTAATTGGTTTTAGGTTAACCGAAAATTGGCAAATTTTAATCAAATGTGTTAATATATGCAGCGTCTCAATTAGGGCATTTAACAAAATTATTGACTAGGATTGGTGGATAAGTATCTATTGATTGCCAATTAATTTATTCATAAGTATACATAAGCTGTTTTCCTGCTAAGAAATTTAGTGAAATATAGAAACAACTCGGAAACCTATTGATGAATAAGGTTAAGCTGGAAATTATTTTGCTTGCCTTCTTCTGTGAATCTTATAACACATCTTGAAGCAATTTGAGCCCCAGCTAAGGACATTTCAGCCCATATTCATTAAGGCCAAACTACTTAACAAAAAAAGAGGCAAAAAAACCTTGCAAATTAAATGAGGCTTGGCTTTTGGAGTAAATGGCACAACAATCACAATCAGCTAATGTGTAGAGCCTAATGACCAAGGAGGCTCTCTGCCTCTCTCGCTATATATACATTAATGCATTTTTAAGGGAACATCAAAAGGGGCACCTTTAGGGGGTTAATTAAGGCGAAACCTAATTAAATCTAAATTTATTTTTAATACCCCCACCATACCATTGCAGGTGCTCACCTTCCTGATCGACTCGTCGCGTTTTCGCTACCCGGAGCGGGCCATCGTCTTCCTGGCCGTGTGTTACCTGGTCGTTGGTTGTGCCTATGTGGCAGGTCTCGGTGCCGGGGATTCTGTGTCGTGCCGCGAACCATTTCCGCCGCCCGTAAAGCTGGGACGTCTGCAGATGATGTCCACCATCACACAGGTGAGAGCAGAAGCAGGAGAGGCCACTGCAGTGGCCAAGAAATCATTCATCAGTCATTTTTAATGAGCCCTCAAAAGGGGTAGCTTAACATCTGCATGAAGTTTATTATTAAAGTTGAGAAAAATTTACAAAAAAAGCATTATTTTTAATTAGAAATCAGTTTACGAGTTGTATTAAAATGTTGTTATCATAAACAAGACCCTAAAGAAAGTTAGTTTATAATTTATAGACTCTTTTGTTTATAGACCTTTTGGTACTTAGTCTTGCTAATTTTTATGGCTATCATCAAACTTAAATAATGATCAACTGATTACTTTTACCTTAAATTAACTTCCCTTCTGAGTGTTTTAAATATCTTTACTTTCAAGTAAGAGTATCTACCTTTAACTATGTATTGTATTAAAATGTTATTATCATAAACAAGACCCTAAAGATAGTTAGTTTATAATTTATAGACTATCTTTAGGGTCTTGATCTAGCAAATTTTAAGGCTATCATCAAGTTTCGATTAACTGATTAACTGATTACTTTTACCTTAAATTAACTTCCCTTCTGACTGTTTTAAATACCTCTACTTTCAAGTAAGAGTATCTACCTTTGACTATGTATTTTTTGTACTGACCAAAATTCCTTTTATTTTCTCCTCCCACCCACAATCACAGGGCCATCGGCAGACCACGTCCTGCACGGTTTTATTCATGGCTCTGTACTTTTGCTGCATGGCGGCCTTCGCCTGGTGGTCGTGTCTGGCATTCGCTTGGTTTTTGGCCGCCGGCCTCAAATGGGGCCACGAGGCGATTGAGAACAAGTCGCATTTATTCCATTTGGTTGCCTGGGCGGTGCCCGCCCTTCAGACCATCTCCGTGTTGGCCCTGGCCAAAGTTGAAGGTAAGTTTCGATTGAATTTTTTTTCTTTTTGGTGGCAGGATTATTATCGATTAAGCCAACCGTGCGACCTTGAACCCTTGAAGAACATTAATCTCTCTCCCTGGATTCACATCAATTTCTATGAAACATCTTAAGCAGCGCTTGAGGTTGAAGGTATTTCATCGTGTAAGACGAAACCGTCATTAGACATCATTTGTGGCATTAACTGTATCTATTTCTTGTGGCTGAGAGAGGGAAAGATACCAACAAAAAATACTTAAGAAAACCAACAATAAATTAAAGATGCCGGGGGGAGAACAGTGGGTTAAGGGTACATGAAATTTTTCTTAGGAGAGTTAAAGAGTTATTAAACATATTTTTCGTTTTAAAAACATTAAGGAAATTAAAAATTTAAGCCATTTATAGAAAACATTAAAGCTTTCTGAAGTTGAAAAATAATTAAATAAAACATTTATCATATTTTGCTGATAAATTTACTTGTTATTCTCTTCCTCATCTTAAAATCTTCAATTTCAATTAAAAACCTTGGCATCTTTTTCGCAAGTTTTAAAAGTTTTACTTCACTATTTTTTTAATATAATAGCTAAGATATTTTAATTTTTTAAATAATTTAACAAAAATTATAAAAGATAACTTATAAACTTCTTGCTAAAACAAAATACCAACTATATTGTCCAGGAATCTCAAATAAGAGTTATAGGTAAGCAAATAAACTAACTAAATTCCCTAATTTGCTTACTGTCTTGTAATCTTCTACTTTACTATATCGTAAAGATAACTATATTATTCTCTATTAAATATTTTATTATATAATATATATTAAAAGAACTAAAAATGCCTAGATTTTTACCCAACAAGAACCCACTGTTCAAATGCGTGTGCCGCCCGTTTCACAGTCATTTTGTGGTTCATTTCAGATTCTTGGGTCTTGGGTTGGGTTCGTTTATTTGGGTCGCTTTACTGGGTATACTTTCAGAGTCATCCGGAGCTGTGGCAAGCAGCTGTCCGCGATTTCTAAACAATTTAATGACCTACGTGGTCGCTCCACAGACACGAAATAAATCTTGACGACGCAACAAAAAATGTAAAGCACGAAAAGCTTAAGAAAAAAAACAGAGTAAGACCCCAAAAATGGTCACGTTAAAGTGCCGTAAAAATTCGTGGACTCTACCCAATGAGTTAAATCGAGTTCGGTTTATTTTCTAGAGTCAAAAAACAAGAACCCAAAACTAATTCGCTTAACGCGCGCCGCCTTTAAGCCGAGTTTTGCTGCCCATTCTTTGGGATCATTTCACATTTTTGGGCTTAATTAGATTGCGGCTTAATGACTCAATTGTGTTTGCCATCCAGGCTGTGTATCTCCTTCCTCTCTCCGTGTATAGACTCATCGTATTCCCGGACAATTTCCAATATGACCAGACGGCAGTAATTAAATACAGCAGCACATGATTATGGCTTGTTAGGCAAATCGAATGAAAGTCATAGACGATTTGGTTGTTGGGGTCGAGTGGAAGTGTGGCACAAATGGGTGGCAAGCATCCCTCTTGATGGCCACTTATAGCCGAACATTAACTGGGTCTACTTAATGCCCCTTTCGGGGTAATTGCTGGGAGTGAGCCAGTGGTGAGGTTAGGTGCCGGCTTAACACTGGCTTAGTGCCTTGTGCATTGTGGTAAACGGTGCCGCGAATTAGCCGACTTCAGCGAACATCCTGGCGAAAGGTCCTTGCTGACGACTAGGAGAACTGTTGATAAGTAAGTCAATCAATGAGAAGGTTTATAGCTTCTAAGAGGTTTATATGATTTATATTACGAAGAAGTTTATACGTAGCTTGTACTGTTTAGTAAATGATTTTAAAATTATAAATAAAGAAAGGATGCTAACCTCGAAAAACTAGGGAAATGTCTATATCCTTACAGTGAAAATATATCATAACTCAGCCAAAATGCATTAAATTCAATTCGGAAAGCTGTTCTGTACTAAATTTTGCAAATTTTATCCCTTATCTTTATTGATATTTTTGACAAATTTTAGAAAAAAAAAAAAGTTTTGTCCAGAGCAATTTAGATCGACGCAGTTTTTTGTGCTGATCAAGAATATATATGGTTTATAGGGTCGGAAATGACTCCTTTGATGTGTTTTAAGCTTCAGACTGAGATGCAATACCCTATTTTTGCAATATAAAAAATAAATGGGAACAGACATGCCGAAGTCCAAATAATAACACTCTTTTTTTGATAAGTAATTTGCTTTCTCTTCCGTATTTATTGTAGTATTCTTTTATTCATTATTTTATTTAATTAAAGTGTTTTGTAATGCAGAGTTATTTTCTAGTTAAATTCGAACCAAAAACCGATATAATTTTAACGGATTTTTATTGATATTTTTAATATGCAAATTTTTCGAGAAATAAAATTTTAAAAAACCCATAACGAAGCCAAAAATGCATTAAATTGAATGCATTAAATTGAATAAATATATAATTTATAGGGTCGGAAGTGGCTCCTTCACTGCCTAACAAGCTTCTGAATAAAATTCGAATACCCAGCAAAGGTATGCAATTTTATATAGAAGTCTCTTAAAGATGATATAAGTGGTCATAAAAGACATAAAGATTTATGAATCAAATTTAATGTGATTTAAACTTATTCAAACTCTATATTTAATCTTTATGATTATATACAATATATGTTCTTTTTTAGAACTGATTCTCAAAGAAGTTAATTTAAGAACCCATAATATTTCCTTAATTTTTGTTCATCACTTTTCCTAATCTTCATTTCCATGCCGCAGTTTTTCCGTCACCTCACTCCACATAATTGCTTGGCGATGCAAAATTTTTCAATTGCTTAACAAATACAATCAAAATTTTTCACTCTAGCCTCTAAGCGCGCCTCTCAAAACGTTCGTTCGGGGCACTCGCTAATGCATGCAAAATGCCAAAAGCCATAAAAACATATTTTCCCCTCATCGCATCTTATATAAAACATTAACATCCCAGTCAGTTGCTGGGAAAACGATTTATGGGAAAAGACTCCCCAAAAAATAAAGGAAAAATTAAAATAAAATGATGACTTAATGCACTGCAAGCCAACGACCAAGAGTACAAAAAAAAACCTTAAGATATATATACAAAAAGAAGAGTCGACGAAAATCGCTGTTGTTGTAAGGGCCACTCCTTGAGATGATTCGCCAAGAAAGTAACGGTAAATGGAAAGGAACAGGCGCAGCTATAGTACACTTAGCGAAAAGGGAGCTTTAGTATATTTTTAGAGAAGTGTAGAGATTTGATTTTATACAAGGCAGTAGTGTTAAACTTAGTGGTATTTTTAGTCTTTTTTAATCTAAATGAATTGATTCATAAAATCGCTAAGCAAAGAATAAGTAAATTATGATAAATAAAGTATGTTTCATAAATTCAAATTTAAATACGTTTTTATATTTTTGCACTTATTTATTAGGGTTTTTAAAAACCTAATAAAAATGCAATATTTACATCCTAAAACAACAAATTATAACAAAAAATAATATACCATACTTTAATACTTATTAAGCGCGTTTTCATGGTCTCTATTATCCCTCGTTAATTCTGCAGCATTCTGCTGTTGGTTTTAGTAAATTTATGTTCGTTTTATCTTTGTTAAAAATAACAACAAAATTTAAAATGCATTTAAATTATTAAATCACTTAAAAGCGTAGAAAGTAGACTTTAGGCTTACATAGCATAACAACTCTTTAGCATAGCATACTTTTCAGCATGAAGAGAGGTTTTTCACCACCATTTTATTTTTCATTTACATTTTGTTTATTTTATTTATATATATTTTTTTAACCCAAAACCTGCATAAATAATTATTTGATCAGTGTATCCCTCCCATTCAGCAACCATTCAGCGGCAATTAATGTTAAATTTAAAAATACATTATTTTAATGTGTCGTCAGTGTTGAAAGAGAGAGATAGGGAGACAGTTGTTGCCTCTGAGTGTTGATGATGGCGGTGTGGAAAGAGTAAACAAAGACAGAGATAGAGGTGGTGAAGGAGATAGCAACATTGGAGAGCCTCTGGTAACGCTCGAAGGCTGAAAGCTTGGAAGCTTTGTCCGCCGGCGGATACGTGCATTGAATTTGTAATTTGCGCACGTTCGTTGCAAACATTGAATAATGCTCACAGATATACCCCAGAAAAGCCCCCCTCCTCTCCACCCTCCACCCTCCGCCCTCCAGCCACGCCCCTTTAAACACTTCTAGCAAAGTAAATAACAGAGAGGCAGAATGGAACCAGGATACCATCCAGGAGCGAAAAAGGGAAGCTAACAATTTGTATTGACTCCACAACGCGTTGGCAGCTCATTTGATGGATTTCCCTTTTTTTTTTGAGTGAGAAGAGAAAGAGAGAGAGGGAGAAGGATGGAAATGGGGCCAGAGCCTATGAATCACCTGGGCACATCACCTGTAAATGTCCAGTTCCGTAGGGATTCCATTTGCTTTGTGCCGAGAATATTAAGCGATACCAATTGGTCGGCATTTTGATTTTTGGTCCTAATAGACACTCTTATGAACAATGTTGGGAAAGTAGGGGAAGTACAGTGTGAATATATAACAGAAAATATATAGAAATATGACGAGGAACAGGAGTAATTTCTGAAAAGGGAACTGAAAGATATTTGAAAGTAAATATTTAATAAGAATTTATATAGAAATTGGTAAGGGAATATTACCTTCTAAAGCAATAATAAGCACAAAGTGTCTTTGAAAAATATTTTACAAAGAAAGTTTACAATTTAAAATGAAATAATACAATTTTTTATAATTTATCAAGTAAAGTAAAATGTATCTTTAGCTTAAATCTAAATCTTTATTTAATTGTTCTTTTGTTACTAAAAATTTGAGAATAAATATATATCTTTAAATTATTTCAAACAACTTGTTAGTATATAAAAGACCACACTTAATTTATCCTAAAAAATCGTATCTTGTATCTCCTCACATTAAATTTTATT